TTTTGTTCTTCAGTCTAGTTGTGGAGGACGTTGCTTCACTGGCCCAAGTTGGCACCATCATTGCGCTCTTCCCGGGTGAGGCATATCAGTCGCTGGCTTCTGGACGGCCACTCACGGTGGCTTGAGGGCCGCACACACTGGCTACACACACGGTAGCCCATGGCAACTCACTGCCACAGGGGTTGCAGCCTACGCTGTCGCTGGCAACTCACAGCAGCCCAGCTCCAGGTTGAGCTGTTGTTCAGCATCTTAGCTGTAGAAGGCAGTGTTACTGGCCCTCATATGTGGGATCTGAACCGGGGCCCTCTGGCGTCCCAAGCCAGTTCTTAACCATTGCGCCACTCAGCCGGCCCTGATTAATTTTTTGATCTATTAGTTTAAACTTCTGCTATTTAAAGATTTTTTTTTTTACTTCTTTCTTTAGGTTTTCTTTGGAGTTCCTTCCCTGGCTTCTTGAGTTGAAAACTCAATTACTTTCACTTTCAGTCTTTCCTTTTTTTAAATAAAGGCATAATAAGTAGGCCACTTTAGCAATATTCTACAATTTCTGATTAATTCTTTGTCATGCAGTTCCAGATATTTTGTAATTTCCATTGTGATTTTCTCTTCAACCTGTGAGTTATTTAGGAGAGTAGTTTTTTTTTAAAGTATCCAAGCATGTTCAAAAATGTCTTTTTAAATTCTGATTGTTATTTTACTTGTTCAGGATGGAGAATGTAGCTGTATATACATTTCTTAAAATGGTTTAGACTTCCTTTGTGATCTAGCATGTGGTTAGTTCTTGTAAATATTCCATGTATACTTGAACGAAATATATATTTCCTAATTCCTGGGTACAGAGTTCTTCTGAGCTATTAAATAAAAGTTTAAATTTGGTTTTCAAAGTTTCTGCTTTCTTACTAAGGTTTCTGTCTGCTTGATCTATCAGTTTCTGGTACAGTTGGTTTAAAATCTCCCAGTAGGACTGTGGCCTTGTCAATTTTTCCTTTAAAATTCTTCAGGTTCTTTTTTTGCTTTATATTGGGTTGTCGGAAAAGTCATGACGCATTTTTACAATGAAAAACAGAAAAAATATGTCATGACTCTTCCGACAACCCAACAGAGTTCATGTATAATCATGGCTATGTTGTTAGTTCAAAATGGCTTTATTGTCTCGGGCATTTTCATTGTATTATTATTGTTAGTTTCTTTATCTGTGTTAATACTTTTTTTCTTAAATTCTATGTTCTCTCAGGGCCGTCTGAGTGGCTCAGTTGGTTAAGAGCTTGCTCAAGAGTGTGAGCTCTGAGTAACCGGGTCACCAGTTCGATTCCTGGCCCGAGCTGAGCTGCCAACAGATGGCAGGATGGCTCAGCTAAAAAAAAAAAAATTCTGTGTTCTCTCACATTAATATTGCTTTTCATCAGTTTTTTTGGGGGAGTGGCTTGGTATGTCTTTATCTACCTCCTTGTTTATAATCTTTCTGCATAGTGTTAGTTAGCTATCTCCTGCAAGCAGCATATACCTCGATTTTCCACCTACCTAGTCTTTTTAGTCTATTTATATTTATGGTGAGGACCAATTGCTTAGATTTATTTCTATCACATTATTTTGTATTTTCTAAATGTAATGAACATTTTTCCTTTGTTTCTGCCCCGCCCATCTTCCTGCCTTCTGTTGGACTGATAAATTGTCTCTGTTCTTTGGCTTATCCTTGCTTTCTCCCTCACTCCCCCACCTCCATAAATACACAGATTGGAAAGTTGTAGCAGAGACTACTAGGCTAGTTGCTCACCTCACACTCAGTATCTCTTTCTTACTTTGAAACAGAATACTTATTTCTAGCTGGGTACACTGCTAAACAGAATGAAAATGCACTTCCCAGCTTCCCTGGAGTCTAGGTCTAGCCAAGGAGATGTAACGGAACTGCTGTGTGAGGTTTCCAGGAAGTCTCTTTAAAAGGGAAGCAACGCCAGCTGCCATCTTAGACCAGGAGAATGGACGCCAAGCACTAGGATGCTAGAGCAGGAAGACAGAAGGAGCCCGCGTCCCTAATAGCCTTCCAGCTGTTAGACCAGTCCTGTGCCATTTCTTGTAGTTCATTTACAGTAGAGAGAAATGTCTCTCTTGTTTAAGCTACTAATTTGGGGGGCCTCTTTTATTAGCAGCTGAATGCAATCCCTGATACAGAAATTATAGATGGTTCTAGAATTTTTATTTAAAAAAAAATGCACATTTAACTACCAATTTTATAAAAGCGATTCTTTTCTAGTCAATCTATTTTACAAATAACATACTTTATAAATACATATTTTATAAAATTCTGTGTTCGACTTTATTTCTTGGGTCACATGCCTTCCTTCTAGCTCCACTCTCCTTCTTGCTGGATGAGGCAGGTTGAATCTGACATGTGAGAGAAGCTGAGAAACAACAGGTACAGTTCTTATGAATTCTAGCCTTCAGTTATGGTGTCCTTACCCCTCCCTTTCTGGAGGGTTGATTATATAAACCAACAAATTGTGCTTATTTGTTGTTAGTTGTGGCCAAAGAATCCTGATGAAAAGAAATAGAAAGCTACTGAACAGACGTGTTCTTGTGGCATTTGCCTGATTTCTCCACAGTGAGGTAACCAGAAACAGGATAGATTTAAATTCTTAGGAAGTTGATTAAAAAAAAAAGAGATAATAATGAAGAAGAAAATACACGGGAAAAGCACCGCAAGAGAGAGATAAAAATGAAGGAACTAAAAATAACGAGTCCCGGAGTGCTGCCTAATTTATCAAACTTGTCAGCAGCAGCAGTTAAGAGTAGAAATCTGTTCCTTAAGTAAAAACAAAACAAAACAGACTAAAGTTACCCATTAGTATTAGATCTCAGAGGAACAATAAAAAGCAAAAATAATTGTCAATAATGCATCTTTTTATTTCAACTATTTAAAACAGCCTAAGGACAATACTTAAATACCAAACTTCCTCTTCGAACTCTAGCTGGTCATTTTGTATTCACATATGATATATGGATGGTGTATTACAATTTAATTCAAGATTTTTTAAAAGCCAGGCTTTGTCTTTAGCACAAGGCTGAAGTTCATTTTTGTCAGAACATATGCTTTATAGTTATATATATGTTGTGTGTGTATATATATATAAAATTTATGTGTATATAAATAAATAAATAAATATTTTATATATATATATATATATATATATATATATATATCTTTATTTTAAAGATATCACTAAGACTTTCCCCTTGACAACAACAGTAGAATAAAAAGCCCAAATTTAAGAAAGACATTTCATCTGGGATACAAACAACTGTTTCACTCAGTCATGTTAACAGAAAAAAAAAGGAATAAATATTTTATTTTAACATTCATTTTCAATTTTATTTAATATAATTACTTTAAAAAAGGAATAAAAATTCTATCAAAACATTCATTTTCAGTATATACTCTTCAATTTGATTTATTAGCATTGCCTAAAAGAAAGGAATAACAATTCTATTATAGCATTCACTTTAAATATATACCTTCAATTTGATTTACTATAATCACCTAAAAAGCAAATCATACATACATTCTCTATACCATATACCAAGAGGAAAATCTATGAATTCACATGGATATTTAGAAAATAAATTTAATTACCTTTGATGCAAGGTTGTCTACTAAAGCAATCATAGAATTCTTAAATAAGGTGGCGGCGGTCAGAGGTCGTTTGGTCACCTCTGTAATGCTCAGTTTGCCTTCGGGCCACATATTCTTCAGCACAGGATTTGAACTGAGAAGGACAGAAAGAGCAATTCCAATATTACATTCAAATAAGCGGAACATGAATTGCTAAGCAATCCTGCTGAACTGTATGCTGGGAGGCACAACTGGGCTGCAGACCGAACTCAAAAGGCCTAACTGGAAAAATGATTCCATCCAGAAATTTATGCTAAAAGTGTAAGGAGAAATACCACACCACAGATGGAGACAACGTATCCAAACCATATTACATTTAAAAAATTCTTTAAACTTCTTTAACGTGACATCTATGTTATTATGACCTAGGACCTTCAAATGGTTAACACGGCTCTTACAATAAATACATGACACAAAATGGTTTTGGTGGTAGTTATAAGAATGAGGACAAACCATTAGGAGGAAAACGATTCTCAATGTTATGGCAGAAAACATGTAAGTGAAAGTATTTTCTGACTGAAACAGATATTCATACAGAATAGGTAACACTACAAAAAAGCCAGGACTTTCTAAAAATACAGATAGGAATATAAAATAACCATTTTTACATTGTCTTCTAGTAAATTCCTTAATTGCAGTTGAATTTATGAACACATTTATAGGTAACATTGGCAGTTATAATATTTCATTGATGTGACACTTAAGATTGTTGCAATCTAATTCTTAATGTGTACTTCAGGCCAATTTTCATGCTAAAAATTATATATTCATTATTTGGTTCTATGGTGATATTTAAAAAAACATGTGTGGTGGTCTCAACTCTGATTTTCTTCCTGTTTCATGTTGAGTGCTTTCAGTTTTAAAGTAATTAGAACTTGAAATTTTGCTTGCTTCCTGGAAACTTTTCTCGTCAGATTTTTTTTTTCTAACCTGGGGGGCTGAGAAAAGACTTAACATGGACATGCTTTGCTAATTGTGTTTACTATCGCCATCATTTTGCCCACTTTTATTACCCTGATATAAAATTGAGAAAATTGAGTTGGTTTCCCAAATACCTAGTAAATTTCTGTATATAGAGACTCAATATAATAGCTGCAAAATGCCAGGATGGGTGACAAAAGAGCAAAGAAGATAAATGGTGAGGTGAAGATTGACAGGGTCTGTGAATGAAGACAGAGAGACACCGCTAACCCTCACCACTGCTAGCAATCAGTGCCAGCTTCTATCAAAAGTGGCTATAAAATGAGGCAGTGATCTGTGGCTTATGGACCCAGTTTCATTACTTTACAGTCCAACTCCACAATTTTCCAATGATACACATATCAATAAAAATAAACGCATAAATGTATATTGCTTTTCCTTAACTTTTCCATTCTAAATATAGCAGAGAGAGAATTTAAGGCAATGGTTCTCAGCCTGGATGCCTTCTTAATATCTACTGAATAAAATTTCCAGAAAGCAGACAACTGTCCTTTGAAAATTCTGATGCACACCAAAGTCTGAAGATCACTGGCTTTGGGTCTATGCAGTTTCTACCCCAAATACCACCTTACTCACTGTTGGCCATATTTCGAGACTATTCCCGTACTATATAGTAAATGGAATGGGGGTGGGGGTGGGGGTGTTGAAAATGAAGGAAATAAGATGATGATGATGATGATGATTCTATTAAACAGGGAATTGATGAATAATGAATCAAGACAGACACATACAATCATTTTAAAGAAAAGAATTTTGAGGCCAGTAAGTCATGAATGTAAGTTTAATGAAATAGTTTTCAAACATTTAAAAGCACCCTCTTCTTAAAAGGGAAGCTTATTTATCCAGAAACCCATAAAAGATATGGGTTTCTGTATAAAAGATAAAGCAGAACTTCTCTTTGCTTGTGAGTAGTAGTCACAAGCAAAGTCTGCACCTGGCATGCCACCTGCTAGCTCCCCTCCTCCTTTCATTTACACGTGCACACATGCACACACACAATACATACACATGCACACACACAATACATACACACACTCAACACCCCCCCACACAAATACATACACACACTCAACACACACATGCACACACACAATACATACACTCACTCAACACACACATGCACACACAACACACACACACACTCAACACACACACCACACACACACAATACATACACACACTCAACACATACACGCACACACAATACACACTCAACACACACACGCACACGCACACAATACATACACACACTCAACACACACACACCACACACACAGAATATATACACACACTCAACACACGCACACACACAATACATACACACTCAACACACACATGCACACACAAACAATATATACACACACTCAACACACACACCCACACAATATATACACACACATGCACACACACAATATACACACACTCAACACACATACACACACCCACACACAAGACATACACACACTCAACACACACACCCCCACACACAATATATACACACTCAACACCCCCACACACAATACATACACACACTCAACACACACACGCACCCCCACACACAATACATACACACACTCAACACCCCCACACACAATATATACACACTCAACACACCCACACACACACAATATATACACACACTCAACACACACACACCCACAATACATACACACACTCAACACACACATCCCCACACACACACACACAATACATACACACACTCAACACACAATACATACACACAATACATACACACACTCAACACACACATACCCACACACAATACACACACACTCAACACACACATGCACACACACAACACATACACACACTCAACACACACACATCCCCCACACACAATACATATACACACTCAACACACACACAATACATACACACTCAACACACACATGCACACACAATACATACACACACTCAACACACATGCACACACACAACACATACACACACTCAACACACACACAATACACACACTCAACACACACACGCACACACACAATACATACACACTCAACACCCCCACACACAATATATATACACACACTCAACACACACACACACCCACACACAAGACATACACACACTCAACACACCCCCCCACACACAATATATACACACACTCAACACACACACAATATATACACACACTCAACACACACACACACACACCCACACACAACATATACACACACTCAACACGCCCCCCCAAACACAATATATATACACACACTCAACACACACACACCCACACACAATACATACACACAATCAACACCCACACACCCACACTATACACACACATGCACACACACAATATACACACACTCAACACACATACACACACCCACACACAAGACATACACACACTCAACACCCCCCCCACACACAATATATACACACACTCAACACCCCCCCACACAATACATACACACACTCAACACCCCCCCACACACAACACATACACACACTCAACACACACATGCACACAACACATACACACACTCAACACACATACAATACATACACACACTCAACACACATGCACACACACAACACATACACACACTCAACACACACACACACAACACATACACACACTGAACACACACATGCACACGAACATCCAGGTCTACTCTCCAGGTCTACAGAACTAGAGATCTAAGGATTCCTCTTTAAATATGTACAAAGAAAAAAAGGATTGAAATTTGGGGAGGTTATTTAGCCACGGAAGCATTGGAAAGTGTCCAGAGGCAAAGATAGCCCGTCCAAGCACCATCTAGGAGGGTGGTTTTAGTCAAAATAATTTCAAGATTTGACATCCGCTTGGCAAGGCCTTTCCTATTATGAAAATATATACAATAAGTTGCAGGCTTTTAATCTTTTTACGCCTTTGGCAAGACCATCCCTATTGTGGAACAGACTCATCTTAGCCTGATGCCTTTAATTGTTGGATTTATCTAAGTTCCTCCGTTCCGATTCCATGCTTACCAAGCCATTAAGCATTCTTGATTCTATGGGTAATATTTTTCACTGTAAATTAATAAACTAGAGTTCTCCCTGCTATTGACTTCCCATAGTAGGAAGTCAAGTAGGTTTTTCCAACAGGAAAACATAGCTTGTCATACCAGTGTAAGCATTCCATTCCATGTGACTGTTAGATTTTTCTCTGGGAATAAATCCACTAGACAGTAAGATCCACAAGGGTAGAGAATTTGTTTAATTTTTTTTTTCACAGCTGTATCCCAGAGCATAGAAGGCCGTGTGGCTCAGAGGCGCTAACTACCTTTGTGGTGATTTACTGGCAAACTGACTGAGTAGCCTTCATGAATGAGGGCCTCCAGTTCCCTCATCCAAAAGATAAAGCTGACCCAGAATCTTTTCTTCACGGGCCTTCTTTCCAAAGTATCCACACTGAGTTTGAACATGGCTAGCCTTTGCCACAGCTTTTTCACATTTTCTTGGATTGTGAAAAGATTCTGTCCACTCCAGATCTGTCATCACTGACACTAGATGCCACTCTGATATCAGAGTGGTCTCTTAGTTGGAGGCAAAAACTCTACAGCGGGGATCTGAGTATGGAAAGCTTTTAGCGGGGCTAGAGGTGACCTGATACCTTCCCATCACCACTGGCCTAGCTGGGGACTGAGGGGTACACTGGTACGGGGTTTCCAGAGGGATGGCAGCAGTGAACAGAGAAACCGAGGTAACCCAAGGGAGCTCAAGAAAAATTATATTAGTAGATGGTCCCTAACCTCAGTTTATAGATGTCTTAATCATAGTTAACACATTATTTCATTCATTAAGTATGATTAAGTAGAACCAGAAAATGCACTAGAAAACCTTAACATTGTCATATAAAAATAGTCATGGGCATATATACTGAAGAATAGAGCTTAATATAAAGATAAAATTTAATCCTACCTGTTATACATGAGGCGCTTGAAATCTTGAAATAAAGTATCTTTATTTTTGTCAATAAAACCAGTGACAGAATAGCTAATAGAGAAAAAAAAAAACATAGGAAAATATGTATTACTCACCAGGCAAGATTCACATGTAAGCTTTTCTAGAAGTCTACAAGCCCTTTCACTGTTAATTAGACAATCAATCCATAAAACTGATTCTGTCTGCCACATTCTATGTTAAGGGATAATAAATTTACCTACGAAATAGCGGGGCTGTGGTTTCTATTCCTTGAAAGGAGAGCAAACATCAGTATCATCATTACGATTAAGATCATTTTTTACTGGTTTACCGCTTACCTCAAGAAGATGACTTTTAGCATATAGATAGCTGTATTTATCCAGCATTCCTAAGAGAAAAGCAAAACGGCAACATACAGGAACTAACAGTCTCATCCGTAGGGAGGTCAAGTGACTTGCCTAAGGTTCGCTCAGTGTGTTCAGGGTGGGATAAAAGAATCCAAGAAGAACTGCAAAGGATGGTAAGAGCTGGATAAGCAGAGGAAAAAGAAGGCAGATCACACAGGGCAACCGATTAAATGAAGGGACGGAAGCAGGCACATGCACGGCATCCTTGGGGGAGGAGGTCAGTATTCATGGTTTGGAGGAAGGCAGGTGAGTAAGGTCTTGAAAGTTCAGCTAAGAGTGCAGATGAGGAAGGTGGGAATGGAAGCTGTTCTGAGCAGTGACCAGCATGGACTCTGGGAGGAGGAAACTCAGGGCTGGGGCATAAAAGTAATTATCGGAGGGTTTTGGGTGATGAGGTTAGGAGGCTGAGTAAACAGTAACTCTCAATGCAGCTTTTCTTTCCAGCTCTGCTTTCTTGCCTGTCTATATTCTCCTTGACGATGACATTAATGTAGATGATTCTCAGATCTCTAACCCCCACCCCTCGCCAATGTTTCAGCCTTCCATATTTAGTTCTGCAAATAAGTTCCTTCAGGGTATGCTGCCCACGGGCACTTTAAAGTCACCAGGCACAAAATTATTTCCTTGCTTCCCCCACCCTAGGTCTGTTTCCTAATACCTTCAAGTCATTTTTTTTTTTTTTTTTTAGCTGAGCCATCCTGCCACCTGTTGGCAGCTCAGCGGCAACTCAGCTCAGGCCAGGAATCAAACCGCTGTTGCTCAGAGCTTGCAATCTTGAGTCAAATCATTTTTGACTGAACCCTTGAAGTCACCTGACTCAATTGATTATCTAACCCATAATATTCAAACTTCAAAATCCTTATTTTTGGCCATTAAGGCGCATTATGATTTGATCTCAATCTATTTTTCCAGGCATTTCTACTTCTCTATGCTATTGGGTTGTCGGAAAAGTCATGACGCGTTTTTGCAATGAAAAACAGAAAAAATACATCATGACTTTTCCGACAACCCAATACAAAAAGGATACACTCCAGCCAAGTGGGCCTAGTTCCTATTTCCTAAATATTTTTAGCACCCTTCCCACCTCTTCCTATAAAAATAATTCCTAGCATCCAAGGACTGCATCCAAGGAGCCAAGGCACCATCAGCCTGCCCAGGTTTATCACACACAGTAGAAGTATTACATCAGCTCCTTGTTCTGAACTCTGACAACTCATATGGCAATTATTTCAGACCATCTTTTATTGTATCATTGTACTCATATGCTGGGAAGTGTGTACATATATGTATTTATTTACACACATACATATCTATGTGACATACTACACATATTTATGTGTATAAATAAATACACATACAACCATATATAAATGTATGCATCTTACATGGAAAGCTCTTTGTGACCAGGGACTATACTTTATAAGGTATTGTACACACAGGAGATATCCAGTAAAAACCTAGAAAAAGAAGGAAGGGCTTAAGGCAGCGGTTCTCAACCTTCCTAATGCCGCGGCCCCTCAATACAGTTCCTCATGTTGTGGTGACCCCCAACCATAAAATTATTTTCGTTGCTACTCTATAACTGTGATTTTGCTACTGTTACGAATCGTAATGTAAATATCTTTTTGTTTTCCGATGGTCTTAGGCGACCCCTGTGAAAGGGTCGTTTGACCCCCAAAGGGGTTGCGACCCACAGGTTGAGAACCGCGGGCTTAAGGAAATAAGGACAAGTCTGAGGCACTGAATATCACTCAAAGAGGTCAGCCAGTGTCCTGGACTGGGAGTCGGGAAACCCAGTCATTGTCTCAGCTCTTCCATAAACTTGCTGTGTGATGTTGGGTAAGAAGTCTACGTAAGCTTTTTTATCTCTGAAGCAAAAGGGCTGGTCTGGGTGGTCTCTAAGGCCTGTCTGCTTTTACACCATTCTGAGCTGGAGGAAAGCACCCAGTAAGTGAGGCCTAGGGCTTCAACGGGAAATATCTGTAAGGGTATGATCTTCCCTCTTCAGCATTCTGGAACGTGGGAACAGGACCGGAAAAAGGAGACAGTGGTGCCATACCAGCACTAATGGCTAGTTTGACAGAGGGCGGTGATAGTTTTGAGCCGTATTAGCTTATACTTCTAGAGTTTTAATTTACATCAGGGGCAGCTATTAAAGTTTCTTCAAATGTCAAAAAAAAGTTTCAGCATTTATAGAGATCATCCTTTGTTGGGTTTTGGGTTTTTTTTGCTATTTCCTTTCTTCCTATAATGGGTTATATGAATACGAACAGAATCCCTAATGTAAAAATGAGGAGAAAGAACAAGACGGCGCTTTAAACAATAAGCTAAGGAGCAGAGTTCAGTGGACAATCAAAGCATCGGAAGCATAATGGACTGAAACAGGCCCCCCTGAAAACTACCCATGTCCAACTCCCTAGAACCTGTGAATGTTACCTTATATGGTAAAGGATGGGATTACGTTAAGGATCGTGAGAGGAGAAGCTCATACTGTATTACCCAGCTGGGCCCTAAATGCCATCACAGGTGTAGTTTTAGGATAGAGGCGGAGGAGGTGGAGGAGGCAACGTGACCATGGAGGCAGAGACTGGAGCGATGGGGCCACAGGCCAAGGGACACCTCGGCCACCCTGGAAAAGGGCTCTCCTCTAGGGCCTTCAAGGTAAGGCCCTGCTGACACCTGGATCTCAAACTTCTGGCCTCCTGAAGTGTCAAAAACAAATTTCTCTTGTTTGAAGCCATCAATGTGTGGCAATTTTTTACAGCAGCTTTAGGAAACTGCAACATAATGGTAGTTACATTTCTTTAGTTCTATTTTCTTATCCATTTCCACTTTTATTGCAATCAGAAAATGTGGCTTGTGCGAATTTTACTTTTCAAATAATATCTGAAAAAATAATACTGCAAAACTGGCTTTTGCTCAGAGTGACCCGACTGCTTGTAGCTTGTCACACAGCGCGATGGCTCTCACCTCCGGGCCTGTGCGCCTGCGGTCTCGTCTGCTTGGAATGCCCTTCTCCTCCCTCCGCTCTTCCTGATTCTCTCCCCTGACTAAGCCTCTTACTTTTAGGACTCAGCTTGGGCATCACTTCCTCCATTCCTCACTCTGTGTTAATCCTGCCTCCTCAGTGTTTCCACAATGTCTGGCGCTTCTATCGGTTAACCCTCTCCCTTCTTCATTATAGTGACTTTTCAACTCTCTTCTTGTCTCCTCCACTAAACTGTTAGCTTCTTCAGGGAAAGGCCCATCTTACCTATTCTTCTATTCCCAGCTCTTAACATATGTCCATGATTTATTTACCCATCAGTTGATTTTGACTGACTGCCAACTCTTCCAGGAACTGTGCATGGTTACATAGTGTATACTCAATAAATGTTTGAAAAGCAAGGCATGAGTGGAGCTATGCCAACTTTTTTTTTTTAAGTGAAAAGATTAAAATGTAGTGGCATATGAAAATGACTGAAAATACAAATGAATAGAAAAAACAATTTATAGTGTTCCTGGTTATATGTTTTCTGAAGTGAGGCTGCATGCAAATCACATTAGGGACAAAAATAAGATACTCACATGACATCACCTGCATAATGTCGAATTCGAAAATCTCGATCAAACTCCAGGATTTTATCGGAGGCACAGAGCTGAGAAATCAAGAAGGAGGTTCTTTTGAAAACAGACATTTTCACTTTCCTAAAAATATATTCCAACTTCACATAAGATGATAATGATGTTACAAGCCATGATATCATTATGAATGAAATTGCACTGTGTGGGGCTTGATTAAAATATTTTGCTTATGCTGTAAAGACTGAGAGCTTTTTCACCAGAAATCCACACACAGCCACTCTTGCAGATGAATATGGCCAAATGACCAAGTTCTGGGCAACGGAGGGTGAGTGGAAGTGTGGTGAGGCTGTTCCAGGCCAAAGCTGGTAAAAAGTGGGTGATCCTCCTTTGTAATTTCTTTTCTCCTCCCACTAGTTGGAAGCAGAGAAGGATAGAGCCTGGGCGATGGGAGAGCCAGGAGATGGAAGAAGTCTGGGTCCCTGAGAGAGAAACAGGCTTCTATTATCTATGACACTTAAATCTTGGCTGCTATCTTAACACAGCCCAGCCTACGCTGACTGATACAGTGTCTTTGCCCCCATGTTCCACTTAAGGAGGGACATATTAAGGGCTTGCTGTCTGCTAGGCACATACATCTCATTCAATTCTCACAACTGACGTTTACAGTAAGTATTATGAGCTCTCTCTTACACACATGGTCACCAAGGCTCAAAGAAGTTGGGTAATTGGCCCAAGGTCGCATAGCTCGTAAGTGGTAGCTCAGGGAAGGATTCTCAGAATGTAACGTCTGTGCTTCCTGTGTACACAAGAGCTTGGCTCACCTGTTTTTTGCTAAGCTGGGATCCCCAGTTCAAGCCTGTCATTTCACAGAAGATCAACCTTCTGCAGCTGTTTCTCTCTGAAGAGGAACACTTTATGGAAAGGCAGTTTCCTGGTAGACTCTACAACTTTCTGCAACTTTTCTCTTTACAGTAGCACCTATACTTCTTGTCTGCCCTGGGAAGGATCACTTGATATCCTGTAAGTTCTAAGGCAGGTGTCTGAGAAGAGTACAGTTACGTACAAAAGCCACTTAGGCTGTAATGTTAGATAACAAACAACCTTAACCAAGGGTGGTGGGTTATATGCCAATAACGTGACCATTAAAGGAATAATTAGTCTATTAATCCAAGTGAATAATTACAGAAAATTAGAGTCAGACTTCTGAGGTTCAAACCTTGGCTCTAATGTATATTTGTTTTGTTTCCTTCAATAACCACTATCTCAGAGAGTTGTTTTGAAGGTTAAAGGAACTGTGGAGTCTGAAGTAACATACTAAGGTTCTCCAAAATATTCCATTCCTCTCTGGTTCTCCCTCTCTTATCAACCACTTTTACAAAATCCTTTTGTCTCTAAATCCACTCCCAAAGGAAAAGGATCAAAGAGATGTCCACACTAATTGAATATATTTTTACATTTGGATATTGCAAAGTTTCAACTGATCTGAACGCAGGTTTTAGACTTTTCTTTAAAAAAATAAGTTGTGTATTTATCATTTCACTTTATATGTTAGTAATATTTTAAATAGTAATTTTATGGTCTATTGGATCATTTGCCTGCCTCTTCATCATACCTTTAATGCACAAGAAATAATTTAGCACCTAAATAAATAATTGTTACAAGTCAGAAACCTCTTATTTAACATGCCAGTAATGCTAGCTAATCAGTAACCAGTAGCAAATGACAACACCTGGCTTAACATACAGGCTAACAGCATTATTGAACAGAAAGATTCATAGTGAGAAAAATCTCCAGACAGCTTGGTTATTTCATCTCTTTCTTTCATTAGGCAAAAATCCCAGAAAAGAACATACTTTAAAATTCCCCATCTGAATGCCTGTCTGGGGGATGACGCTGGAGGAAGCAGCCACCTGGTCTGAGTTGGGGGAAACCTGCGCTCCCACATTTAAAAAAGAAAGAAAAAAATTTCCATCTCCACAGATTAATGATTGTCCAACATTTCCTATCAAATCAGTAGCAACTGCTTTAAAGGACTATGTACAGTTGCGACCTTAAGAATGAGATGATATTTCCAAAAATTTGGTTGACAAATTTAATTGAGATGTATAAATGGCCAACATGAAACATATCAAAGTGAGGTGATTTCTCAGGTGAGAGTCACAGTTGCTTATTTAAATGAAGTGGGGCCTTGCATGTTTTGATTTAAATTTCAGTATTCCGTAAGATTTATTTTGTATGATTGTGACTGGTTCAATTCAAATTTGACAAACACTGATTGTCTGCCCACCTGGTAGGCACAATGCTAGGTGAGTCTCCAAAACCTGAATGGTGATTATAAAGGACATTTATAACCTATCCCTCAAAGAAAGGACATATGCCCATATAATCACGCCATCTCTAAAGGCATCATTCTAAATTATTTAGGTTGTTCACTCTGCTCATGACACCCAGGACTGTACCTGGAAAATGAGAGGCACTTAGGAAGTATTTGTGTTGTAAGTGGGGAAGGACTGAAGCAATACCAGTCTAACCAGAACGCTGAGGTCGAATGTCAGACTGTAGAATCCGAAAGCCGACTTGTGGTAGGCGGAAAAGTTGATCCTCACTAACAGACAGAGGAGCCTATTTCAGAAATAAACTGTCCTAAAATAAGTATCAGCCAGTAATCTATATCTTGATGATTTGTGCTTTATCTAGTTAATTGTGGAAGCTTTCAGTTTGGATTACATAATTTCAAAGGAGACAAAGTTAGAGAATAGATTTAGTCATGCTAAAAAACGGCAGCACCTCATCGATTTATATGGAATTACGGAGGAACAGAACTGTTCGCCCCTTTCCTTATGGAAGTGAAGGACGATGGAGCCTGGTTTCCCTTTAGCGTCTGGCTGCCAGACAAGCCTATATTTGCAGGGAACACTCAGGGAGGACAGTGTGCCCCTCCCAGGACAAATATTAATCGCATACTGTATGCAAGACACAGCACCAAGGTCCGATAGCCTCAGATGCCACCAACTGTTCAGAAACGTGATCTGTTGATAACATTTTTAGAATGTGAAAAATGGAGAGTTAAAAGGCTCCCCCTGCATTTAAGGAATGAGTTTCCTTGTAACAACTAGAATCGCAGCTAGAGTTTCTGTTTTTTTTTTGTTGTTGTTGTTGTTTTTTTTTTTTTTTTTTCCGAGGTTATATGTATATATAATTATAGTTGACATACAGTGTTATTCATAGAGTTTCTGTTTTTAAGAAATCATATAGTCTGAGGAACTATGGCANTAAGGAAATAAGGACAAGTCTGAGGCACTGAATATCACTCAAAGAGGTCAGCCAGTGTCCTGGACTGGGAGTCGGGAAACCCAGTCATTGTCTCAGCTCTTCCATAAACTTGCTGTGTGATGTTGGGTAAGAAGTCTACGTAAGCTTTTTTATCTCTGAAGCAAAAGGGCTGGTCTGGGTGGTCTCTAAGGCCTGTCTGCTTTTACACCATTCTGAGCTGGAGGAAAGCACCCAGTAAGTGAGGCCTAGGGCTTCAACGGGAAATATCTGTAAGGGTATGATCTTCCCTCTTCAGCATTCTGGAACGTGGGAACAGGACCGGAAAAAGGAGACAGTGGTGCCATACCAGCACTAATGGCTAGTTTGACAGAGGGCGGTGATAGTTTTGAGCCGTATTAGCTTATACTTCTAGAGTTTTAATTTACATCAGGGGCAGCTATTAAAGTTTCTTCAAATGTCAAAAAAAAGTTTCAGCATTTATAGAGATCATCCTTTGTTGGGTTTTGGGTTTTTTTTGCTATTTCCTTTCTTCCTATAATGGGTTATATGAATACGAACAGAATCCCTAATGTAAAAATGAGGAGAAAGAACAAGACGGCGCTTTAAACAATAAGCTAAGGAGCAGAGTTCAGTGGACAATCAAAGCATCGGAAGCATAATGGACTGAAACAGGCCCCCCTGAAAACTACCCATGTCCAACTCCCTAGAACCTGTGAATGTTACCTTATATGGTAAAGGATGGGATTACGTTAAGGATCGTGAGAGGAGAAGCTCATACTGTATTACCCAGCTGGGCCCTAAATGCCATCACAGGTGTAGTTTTAGGATAGAGGCGGAGGAGGTGGAGGAGGCAACGTGACCATGGAGGCAGAGACTGGAGCGATGGGGCCACAGGCCAAGGGACACCTCGGCCACCCTGGAAAAGGGCTCTCCTCTAGGGCCTTCAAGGTAAGGCCCTGCTGACACCTGGATCTCAAACTTCTGGCCTCCTGAAGTGTCAAAAACAAATTTCTCTTGTTTGAAGCCATCAATGTGTGGCAATTTTTTACAGCAGCTTTAGGAAACTGCAACATAATGGTAGTTACATTTCTTTAGTTCTATTTTCTTATCCATTTCCACTTTTATTGCAATCAGAAAATGTGGCTTGTGCGAATTTTACTTTTCAAATAATATCTGAAAAAATAATACTGCAAAACTGGCTTTTGCTCAGAGTGACCCGACTGCTTGTAGCTTGTCACACAGCGCGATGGCTCTCACCTCCGGGCCTGTGCGCCTGCGGTCTCGTCTGCTTGGAATGCCCTTCTCCTCCCTCCGCTCTTCCTGATTCTCTCCCCTGACTAAGCCTCTTACTTTTAGGACTCAGCTTGGGCATCACTTCCTCCATTCCTCACTCTGTGTTAATCCTGCCTCCTCAGTGTTTCCACAATGTCTGGCGCTTCTATCGGTTAACCCTCTCCCTTCTTCATTATAGTGACTTTTCAACTCTCTTCTTGTCTCCTCCACTAAACTGTTAGCTTCTTCAGGGAAAGGCCCATCTTACCTATTCTTCTATTCCCAGCTCTTAACATATGTCCATGATTTATTTACCCATCAGTTGATTTTGACTGACTGCCAACTCTTCCAGGAACTGTGCATGGTTACATAGTGTATACTCAATAAATGTTTGAAAAGCAAGGCATGAGTGGAGCTATGCCAACTTTTTTTTTTTAAGTGAAAAGATTAAAATGTAGTGGCATATGAAAATGACTGAAAATACAAATGAATAGAAAAAACAATTTATAGTGTTCCTGGTTATATGTTTTCTGAAGTGAGGCTGCATGCAAATCACATTAGGGACAAAAATAAGATACTCACATGACATCACCTGCATAATGTCGAATTCGAAAATCTCGATCAAACTCCAGGATTTTATCGGAGGCACAGAGCTGAGAAATCAAGAAGGAGGTTCTTTTGAAAACAGACATTTTCACTTTCCTAAAAATATATTCCAACTTCACATAAGATGATAATGATGTTACAAGCCATGATATCATTATGAATGAAATTGCACTGTGTGGGGCTTGATTAAAATATTTTGCTTATGCTGTAAAGACTGAGAGCTTTTTCACCAGAAATCCACACACAGCCACTCTTGCAGATGAATATGGCCAAATGACCAAGTTCTGGGCAACGGAGGGTGAGTGGAAGTGTGGTGAGGCTGTTCCAGGCCAAAGCTGGTAAAAAGTGGGTGATCCTCCTTTGTAATTTCTTTTCTCCTCCCACTAGTTGGAAGCAGAGAAGGATAGAGCCTGGGCGATGGGAGAGCCAGGAGATGGAAGAAGTCTGGGTCCCTGAGAGAGAAACAGGCTTCTATTATCTATGACACTTAAATCTTGGCTGCTATCTTAACACAGCCCAGCCTACGCTGACTGATACAGTGTCTTTGCCCCCATGTTCCACTTAAGGAGGGACATATTAAGGGCTTGCTGTCTGCTAGGCACATACATCTCATTCAATTCTCACAACTGACGTTTACAGTAAGTATTATGAGCTCTCTCTTACACACATGGTCACCAAGGCTCAAAGAAGTTGGGTAATTGGCCCAAGGTCGCATAGCTCGTAAGTGGTAGCTCAGGGAAGGATTCTCAGAATGTAACGTCTGTGCTTCCTGTGTACACAAGAGCTTGGCTCACCTGTTTTTTGCTAAGCTGGGATCCCCAGTTCAAGCCTGTCATTTCACAGAAGATCAACCTTCTGCAGCTGTTTCTCTCTGAAGAGGAACACTTTATGGAAAGGCAGTTTCCTGGTAGACTCTACAACTTTCTGCAACTTTTCTCTTTACAGTAGCACCTATACTTCTTGTCTGCCCTGGGAAGGATCACTTGATATCCTGTAAGTTCTAAGGCAGGTGTCTGAGAAGAGTACAGTTACGTACAAAAGCCACTTAGGCTGTAATGTTAGATAACAAACAACCTTAACCAAGGGTGGTGGGTTATATGCCAATAACGTGACCATTAAAGGAATAATTAGTCTATTAATCCAAGTGAATAATTACAGAAAATTAGAGTCAGACTTCTGAGGTTCAAACCTTGGCTCTAATGTATATTTGTTTTGTTTCCTTCAATAACCACTATCTCAGAGAGTTGTTTTGAAGGTTAAAGGAACTGTGGAGTCTGAAGTAACATACTAAGGTTCTCCAAAATATTCCATTCCTCTCTGGTTCTCCCTCTCTTATCAACCACTTTTACAAAATCCTTTTGTCTCTAAATCCACTCCCAAAGGAAAAGGATCAAAGAGATGTCCACACTAATTGAATATATTTTTACATTTGGATATTGCAAAGTTTCAACTGATCTGAACGCAGGTTTTAGACTTTTCTTTAAAAAAATAAGTTGTGTATTTATCATTTCACTTTATATGTTAGTAATATTTTAAATAGTAATTTTATGGTCTATTGGATCATTTGCCTGCCTCTTCATCATACCTTTAATGCACAAGAAATAATTTAGCACCTAAATAAATAATTGTTACAAGTCAGAAACCTCTTATTTAACATGCCAGTAATGCTAGCTAATCAGTAACCAGTAGCAAATGACAACACCTGGCTTAACATACAGGCTAACAGCATTATTGAACAGAAAGATTCATAGTGAGAAAAATCTCCAGACAGCTTGGTTATTTCATCTCTTTCTTTCATTAGGCAAAAATCCCAGAAAAGAACATACTTTAAAATTCCCCATCTGAATGCCTGTCTGGGGGATGACGCTGGAGGAAGCAGCCACCTGGTCTGAGTTGGGGGAAACCTGCGCTCCCACATTTAAAAAAGAAAGAAAAAAATTTCCATCTCCACAGATTAATGATTGTCCAACATTTCCTATCAAATCAGTAGCAACTGCTTTAAAGGACTATGTACAGTTGCGACCTTAAGAATGAGATGATATTTCCAAAAATTTGGTTGACAAATTTAATTGAGATGTATAAATGGCCAACATGAAACATATCAAAGTGAGGTGATTTCTCAGGTGAGAGTCACAGTTGCTTATTTAAATGAAGTGGGGCCTTGCATGTTTTGATTTAAATTTCAGTATTCCGTAAGATTTATTTTGTATGATTGTGACTGGTTCAATTCAAATTTGACAAACACTGATTGTCTGCCCACCTGGTAGGCACAATGCTAGGTGAGTCTCCAAAACCTGAATGGTGATTATAAAGGACATTTATAACCTATCCCTCAAAGAAAGGACATATGCCCATATAATCACGCCATCTCTAAAGGCATCATTCTAAATTATTTAGGTTGTTCACTCTGCTCATGACACCCAGGACTGTACCTGGAAAATGAGAGGCACTTAGGAAGTATTTGTGTTGTAAGTGGGGAAGGACTGAAGCAATACCAGTCTAACCAGAACGCTGAGGTCGAATGTCAGACTGTAGAATCCGAAAGCCGACTTGTGGTAGGCGGAAAAGTTGATCCTCACTAACAGACAGAGGAGCCTATTTCAGAAATAAACTGTCCTAAAATAAGTATCAGCCAGTAATCTATATCTTGATGATTTGTGCTTTATCTAGTTAATTGTGGAAGCTTTCAGTTTGGATTACATAATTTCAAAGGAGACAAAGTTAGAGAATAGATTTAGTCATGCTAAAAAACGGCAGCACCTCATCGATTTATATGGAATTACGGAGGAACAGAACTGTTCGCCCCTTTCCTTATGGAAGTGAAGGACGATGGAGCCTGGTTTCCCTTTAGCGTCTGGCTGCCAGACAAGCCTATATTTGCAGGGAACACTCAGGGAGGACAGTGTGCCCCTCCCAGGACAAATATTAATCGCATACTGTATGCAAGACACAGCACCAAGGTCCGATAGCCTCAGATGCCACCAACTGTTCAGAAACGTGATCTGTTGATAACATTTTTAGAATGTGAAAAATGGAGAGTTAAAAGGCTCCCCCTGCATTTAAGGAATGAGTTTCCTTGTAACAACTAGAATCGCAGCTAGAGTTTCTGTTTTTTTTTTTTTTTTGTTGTTTTTTTTTTTTTTTTTTTTTTCCCGAGGTTATATGTATATATAATTATAGTTGACATACAGTGTTATTCATAGAGTTTCTGTTTTTAAGAAATCATATAGTCTGAGGAACTATGGCAAAGGACACAGCTACCTTTTATAACGGAGGATTACAATAAAAAGCCAAGGACAAAAGCTATTTTCAATGCCAGAATTATCAAGATGCAGGAGCAAAATTCTAGCGCATGAACGAGGGCTCTGTACCTATTGGTTATAAATGACATCATGCTTTTTAAAGAATCGTGTTCACTTTTCCTGTTTCTAGCAAATTGAGTAGGCTGGAGCTCCCTCTCCTGGATATTAGGGTTTTTATCAGTCTCGTCATCCCATAAACCAGAGAGGCCCAATTTAGCCACAGCAATAAATAAATCATTTCATGGACGTTTATGGCCTTTCTTTCTTAGTTGAGTGGACATTCTTGTAACCCGACATTTAAAAGTCATTCGATTCTGTCAAACAACAAGGAAACTCGTACAGATCAAAACGAGAGGGAGTTCTCAGGAAATGTATTACCTTCCGGCTGGAAAAGTGACCATGTTTGCCCAATTTACTGTTCAGTGCTTCGAGGAACATTTCATCGGTGACCTTGCCGACGTTCATGCAGGCGTCATCCAGGATTGCAATGATGCCTTTGTGCTGCTGCTCCACAAGGTCCACGATGATCTGGTTGTTGAAGTAATCGATCTGTGCGACACAGCAAAGAAGCCATTCCCAAGGGGCCCGAGACCCGGCCCGCAAAACACCCGAGGCCTCCATCTGTATCGGGAGTTCAAGTAAAGCTACCCTTATGTAAAACGTGGCAACAACACCCAGGCGGTCTAACACGAAAAGGAGCATGCGTTATGTCAGAGGTTTCCATTTCCATTTCTGTGTTGACTTTATAACATGAGATACTTTTTTTTCAGATGAGTATAGTTCAAGGCAAACATTATAAAGCAGATAATGTTTCTGCCATCATTAACCCTTGTTTTAATCCGGACTCCGTATCCTGTACCTAACTCTACTCCTTCATACTCTCCATCCCCCAATCTGCTTGCCCTTCATTAATCACAAGACCCAGATAGTACCAGTTAAGGGATTAGGCAGAACTTGCATTTTTAGTTATGTGGGCCTCGACTAAAATCCAAAAGAACATCTCCAGTTTCCCCAAAGTCAAAAAGCACATACGGGCCTGACAGAGTTTTGATGTTTTGCAGGGTATACCATAAAAATTTAATTCTGAGATGTGAGAACCTATAAAAGAGAAGAATAAGCTTTTCATTTATTTCCGTGAGCTGAATCAAGTTATAAATAACTTTCGGCTTTTTAGCAACTTCAGTATACACAAGGTTTATACAAAAATCCTCTTCTACACCTGTTTACTCTGATATCCTGTGGCACACGTCACCATTTGCAGAAAGCACGCACGGGCCTGACTCAGGCAGGCTGTACATCGCTTGGAAATAGGCAGTTTATTATCGTACATTCTAATCTGTGTGTTGCTATGTCCCATCTTACTTAGGAGGTACCTGAACTGCAAGGGGACCCATTACCTTCTGTAAGATCTACGCATCCATAACAGACTATTAAAGTGTCTCATGTGCCATGCTATGTAAAATTGAGGACTCATGCCACTTACTTGTCTGAAGCTTTCAGCTCCAAGTTTTCTTCTGTATTCCATAAACTGAAAGTCTCAAACTGGGTGGCTTTTACTTTCTTTTTTATACTTTTCTGGTTCCTCTAAATCGGTGGTTCTCAATAGAGGGTGACTTTGTCCCCCAGGGGACATTTGGCAATGTCTGAGGACATTTCTTTTTTTCTTTTTTTTCCCCTGTTCTACATCCCTGAATGAGGACACTTCTGATGTTTGTGACTAAGGGAGTCTTAGTGGCATCCAGTGGGAAGAGGCCAGGGATGCTGCAAAACATCCTACAATGCCCAGGACATGCTCAAAACAAAGATCTACCTGGTCCAAAATGTCAGTAGTACAAAGATGGAGAAGCCCTAGTATAAACATGGTGTTGTTGGAAAAGTCATAATGTATTTTTCCTGTTTTTCGTTGCAAAAATGCGTCATGACTTTTCCAACAACCCAATATTTACTTTTATTGTGGGTATTTATTACATTTCTAATTAGGGAGAAAAGTTATTTCCATCTTTGGAAATATACCCTTAAAAATACTAAAAATAAAACACACAAAAAAGCAGCAGGAACTCTGTACTAATTAATAGCTGAAATCTTAGACTTTGGAATTAGAAGACTAAGTCTTTTGTCCTAGGAACAAAAGAAGTAAGTTCCCTAAAATTCCAATTATATAAACAAAAAGTGATTAATCTTTGCTGAAGAGTCTAGTAACTAACTTTTAGTTTTGAAGTTTAATGTTGATTCAAATATTGCTTCAAGTAGTGGTTTCCAACCAGTTTCTTCTGGCAACCTGGCATCCCCAGGTGGTTCCTCAGGGGACACAGGGGGCATGGAGAGATGTGATGGGGTGGTTTAGGGGTACAGGGCTCTGGGCATCCCATTCCCTCTCCAAATCATGCAGCTTTGTGCCTGAGAGTCAAGTTCTCAACAGCTAACCAATCACCAGAAGCTTTTAAAACTGAATCAATTAGACAACCAGACATATGAGCCTCCTGATGAAAGTTCACACACCACCTATGAACTAGACTGGTGGGAAACCACTGCTCCTGAAACCAGTGGAGAGTCTAGATCTAACAACCAAGGAAATATAAAAGACAGAGAAACACAGCAGGTGATATCTTGGGAATCCAACTCGCAAAATCCAGACTGTGGAATACTCTACGGGACAAATGACTTGCTGTCTTCATCAAAAGATAATTAAGGAAAAAGAGACAGAAAGAGAGAGGGAGAAGATCTATAAATTTGTGAGACCTATCAACAATCAAATGTAGGAACCTTATTTGTATCCAAATTCCAACAGACTGTAAAGACAAAACAAAAAACTATAAGACAACGGAGGAAATGTGACATGGGAACACTGACTGGGTATTTGATGACATTAAGGAATTACTGTTAATTTTTTAGGTGTGATAATGGTATGGTAGTTATGGGTTTTGTAAAAGTATTTATCTTTTAGAGAAACATACTGAAATTTTTACAGACAAAACAAATCACATTATTATCACATTATAGTCTGAGATTTGCTTCAAAACAATCTAGGGGTGGGTTGGTGGGTACAGATGACAGACACGACTGGTAGTCCAATGACGTCTGTTAAAGCTGGGTGATGGGTACGTAGAGCTTATACATTCTGATCTCTACTCTCATGTATGTTTGAAATTTTCCACACACAAAAAAAGAATTAATCACTATGTTCACAAGTCTGGGGTTTTTAAAGGAAATATTTGCCCAGAATAGCTATTCTTATCTGGGGGAGCTGGCATATGGTCAGTTACTGTTACCGTGGAGTTAGCCTCTGTTCCCTGTAGGGACACATATTTCTTGGTTTATTTTGCTAAGAATTTTTGCAGTTTAGGGCTTTTGTCCCTTTTTTCCAGATGTTTGGAATAGCCTACTGTAATTTTTGACTTCTCCCTTTTATCAACTGTGTCAGTGGAATTTGATACTCTGATTGTTAAAGGATATTTTTGATCAGTATCTCTGAATTGCATCTGAATAACAAGTTTTATGATTGAGTTTGCGATAAAAAAAATCTAAGCCTCAATTATAATTGTGTATTAGATTACATGACATGTTCATTCTAAGAAAGCTACATATACACTTAATTGAATTGAATTACATCTCAAATGTGCTATAAGAGGTCACTCCTTAAATCAAAATTGTATTATAGGTAATCTTATTATAAAGCAATAGCACATTTTGGTTTTATATGACTATACGTGAACAAAACTTTTTTATGGTATACTAATTAACACGCGATGAAAAGGAAAATGCACTTGAGGCAGGAAAGCTAGTAATTCTACCATCGCCTCCTTTTTCTGAACGAGAGGAGACAGAAAGTATGAACATGAGAAGGAGTATAGAGTAATTTAAATTCAGCCTTCCAAATGGCTTTTTCACTGCTATTACGCTGAATATCAAAAAAAACAAATACTGACTTAATTTTTATTGTCTATGCTATTTGGCAAGAGGAGACACACAGTTTTATAAACACAGAAATGTATGGGAACGCAGAAGGTTTTGCATTTTTCATGTCTTTTCTCAAGATTGTTTTGAAATACAAATTTGTAAGAAAAATTACGAGGTCTCATTTCTATCACGAGCAGGAGGTGTAATTGTCACGCTTTTGACAATTTGGCCCAGTTTGGACCCCGGGCCAGTGATACTTCCTGACCATATATCACCAGACTAGTGTGACCGTGACAAATATTAAAGGTCACAAACAGCCATGAGAAGAAAGGTGACAACTAAAGTATGACACAGGAAGGTAAATGGAAATAAAAGTGAATACAGTATTTTCATGCAAGGATTTCAGAGAACAGGAATCCCATTAACTAAAGACGGTAAAATGCCATGTAGTTTAAAAAGCAGAGAAGGGGAAAAAAACCAACAAAAAACAAAAGAATGAGGAGGAAAAGGAAGAAAAGGAGGAAGGGGAAGAAACTAAACTTGGAAGCAAAGTTCAGCCGATGTAAGGCAAAAGTTGCTGCTCTGAGTAACATAAATGTGCTAAACTCTTTTTTTTAAAAATTAAATTTATTGGGGTGATATTTGTTAGTAAGATTGTATAAGTTTCAAGTATACAATTCTGTAAGGCATCATCTATATATTTATTGCACTGTGTGCTCACCACCTAAAGCCTAGCCTCCCCCCTGTCACCATATATTTGACTACTAAACTCTTAACAGATGGGAACCAGAAAACCCATGTGGCACCAGCCATAAATTGAAAATGTGAAGTTTACTGATTATAATAACTCAGCATTTTCTGGGCACCAACAAGGGAGTCTATCAAATTAGAGAAATCCCACGTAGCAACACTGAAAATGAATTGTATTTACATACCCCAAAAAAGGAAAGCTAAAGTTTTGGTGTTTCACGTAACCAGAAAGATTTTTTTAAATACAGTAAAACCTTGGATTGCGAGTAACTTGGTTTACGAGTGTTCCACAAGACGAGCAAACATTTCTAATACATTTTAACTTGGTAAACAAGCAATGGCTTGCAGTATGAGTAGTGTGTTTCCGGAACAAATTATGCTCGCCAACCAAGGTATTGCTGTACCTCAAATGATAAGATTTGACATTATCAATAATCGGTGAAACGCAGGAAGACATTTTCCACAGACGTCCACTCACATGTTTCCAGGGGATCCCTTCCCGCTGGTATTCCTCTTGTTCTTGCTTCAGAACCAGCTGAATAAAGAGCTGCTGCAATTTCTCGTTGCAGTAATTGATGCAGAATTGCTCAAAGCTGCAAGAAAAAGCAGGAAATTAGGTTGAAACAAACAAAAAGCAAACAATCGTGTCTAAAGCAGCGTATCCTGTTTTACCTGTTGTTGTCAAAGATTTCAAAGCCATAGATATCCAAGACACCGATGACAGTGTTTTTCCCGTGGATTGTGGTGTCATAGTTCTTCACCTCAATAATGTCATTGATGCGAGTCACGATCCAACAAAAAAGGCGCTCATATATAGCCTGTGAGCAAAACAACACCGTAAATTCTTGCCCATTGGGAATGAGTAATCTGTTTGGATTTGTGATAAAGTTTCAAATTCCTATTCTCCTTCTTACCATTGTTTAGGATATCTGTTACTACCCGAAGCAAAACAATAAGAAAAGCAGACGATCTGTTAAAAAACACAACACCATAGATGCAAAACTAAAGTACATAGTTTGGATTTTTAAGATTATTACTGGTCACTACACGTATTGTATTTCAACAACATTCTGGCCCAGGTTTGTTTCTGTGCCCAGCTATCTCAAAAATTTGCCTACTCCCTCATATAAGTCACTTACAATAGCTGCTTTGTTGTTAATATTATCAACTCTAAAGAGTGGGAAACCAATGTGTTAATAACTATGTTGCACTAGAGCTCTATAAATTTGAGAAATATAAATATTGATTTGTAATCCTAAATAAAGATCTGAGCCAAAGGCCACAGTTTGAAATTCCCTGAGAATCAAAGGCGCATCCAGTGCACACGGATACACACGCCAAGTCACAGGTGGGCACTACGCACTAACACAGTCGCATCCTGGTGCAAACATGCTCTGCCAACGTCACATCTTCAGAAAGCCTTGAACGACTCCCTCCAGCCACCCACTTGCTTTACTGATACTTATCCACACGCACTGTCTCCACACTTCACCTCCCCTTTCCTCTTCAATCCACTCGTCTTTGATGAGCTCCCACTACTCCACTAAAAATGGTTCCTCAAGGACCCCGAGCACCTGTATAGAGACACCGCCTTGTACCCACTAGATGGGCATCTTCTTCAGATACTCAGCATCCCTTAACCGAGTGTCCACTCTCTTCTTAAAATCTCCTCCTCTCTGGGATTCATGGCACCACACTTCCTTAATTTTCTTTTCATTTCACTGGCTGCTCCTTCTTGGTGAACTTCGGTAGGCCCTCCTCTGCCTGACCTCTGAAAGCTGGAATTCCTCGCAGTCCTCTTCTCTCTGCTCTTTAACACCTCCTAAGTTGTACCACTCAATATTAAACAGCAGTAACATAACACTGCTCCCAAACGTGTTACCCCCATGCAGACCTCTCCTCTGAGCTCCAGGTCCCGGTGCCTGACCGCCTACCTGACCACACTTTAAGGTGTCTCAGTCCTCTCGGATGTATGTCCTCTCAGGACTCTTGATCTTCCCACCCCCCAAAACTGTTCCTATCCTACTTTAACCATGAATAAATGGCAAGAGAAACTCAGGAATGTATTTATTCTTTCCACAAATATTTGCCAAGTACTTATTATGTGTAGTTTGTTGGAGATCCAGTACTAAGCCAACACAAACATGGTCTCAGACTCTGAGGAGCTTAGGCAGTAAGGTGAAGGCAAAATCTCTCTCTTTCTCTGAAGGTGAGGTGCATGGGATCTGAGGAGAATTTAACCTGTTCAGTGTGGAGAGAGGCCAGGGAAGGCTTTCCTGAGAAAGCGGGCTCAGATCAGGATGAGTAAGAGTAATTAACCGGACGAGAGGGGGGAGAAGAAGCAGGAGAAACAGCATGTGCAGAGGCCCTGTGGCTGGAAGGGGAAAGGGATGAAGACAGCTTGGGAGGCCTGAGAGAAGGCTAACGGGCTGGAGTGAAGAAGGGCGGCTGGAATGTGGTATGAAATGAGGCAGGACAGGTAGGTCGGAGCCAGACCCTACCAAGGAATGTCCTTGATTCCATCATTTCCCAGACAAGCAGGTCCTGCGGATTGTATCTTCCAAATACAGTTGGTTTCAACTCATCTCCTCCCCATTGTCACTGCTACCTTCTCAGTCCCAGCTGCCGTCGTCTCTCTCCTGGATTATTAAAATAGCCCCTTGACTGCTCTCTGCGCTTCCACTCTGGCCCTACCTGCCCCCCCCCTTTGATAAGATTCTCCACACTGAGGCCAGAGCGATTATTTTACAAATTCGGAACCTGATATCACTGTCCTACCGTCAAATCCTCCACTCTCTACTGAACTTAGATAAATTCAAATTCTACCCAAGACTAAAAAGCGAGCCTGAGATTTACAAGAGCAAAATATGGGATAACAGCAACCTAATCAACCAGCCAAAAGAAGAAAATGTTAAGACTTAAAAAAAATAGGGCTGGCCGAGTGGCTCAGTTGGTTAAGAGCTCACTCAAGAGTGCGAGCTCTGAGCAATAGCGGTTCGATCCCCGGCCCAAGCTGAGCTGCCACTGAGCTGCCAACAAGTGGCAGGATGGCTCAGTTAAAACAATAAAAATAAAAATAAAAATAAATAAATAAATAAAACATCTGTCACACAGAACATAGACAAAGGGTTCAAGTTATTAGCTCTTACAAATTGATAGTAAAAAGATAACAGCCCCAAAGAAATACGAACAAAGGACATGTACCCAGGCAATTCTCAGACCAGATGTAAATATCTTATATGGCAAGATGCTCAAACACACTAGTAATGAAAAGTAAACTAATGATGAGATATTACTATGTACCCATAAAGTCAGTAAATCTAAAGTTTAAAAATCAGTGTGCCTTTTCACTTGGCAGGCTCATTCCTGGGAGTCCATCCGGCTGACATGAAAGCGCTTGTGTGCCGAGAGAGATGCGCTGGGCCCATCTGCCGCATTGTTTGGAGGGGCAAAAAAAGGAAGCAAGGAGGCTGACTTAGGAGGATGCTGGTTAATAAATTATGGAGCCATCCCCACGCACTGGTACACAGACATTGGACAGAGTGGATCACAACTCCTCCGTCAGTGGACTTGAAGCGGACTGGCACGAAGCATCATCGCGTGAAAGGAACAAAATGGAGGGCCATGAGAGCAGCCCCTGCACGTGAGGGGCCCTGAGAAGTAAGCGTTAGCTTGCCGGTCAGTCAGCTTTGCTCTCCCCAGAACGTTCTCTGGCAGTGAGCTCAGAGTAAGGGGGGCTACTGAGACTGAGACTGCGACGGACGAAAAGCTATCATTACGGTTTTTCAAAGCCTTAACCTCCTTTCAGGGGACATCTGAACACATCCTCACAGAAGCTCACCAGAACTGCAACTGAGATCAACACCAGGCCCAGGGAAGGCCCGTTAAAACCCCACCTTGGCGAAGGCATCTCTGCCGTAGCTGGCTTCTTGTTCCGTGTGCTGTTTGTCAATGATGTCGCGTCCTGTCGCCACGGTCCGGTAAAGAAGGGCTTTCTCAACCATATCCGCCTTGGTGGACAGCAGTTCCGCTATGATGGATACAACCTTGCCATTTTCAATAAGAGGCGTGTCACCGTCCACGACAAATTTTAAATTTCCCTATTCCAAAAGCGGAAAAACAAGACACATCATTTCCAGTGAAATTCTGAAATAGTATGTCAGGGATATAAGTGCCAATTTAAGATCTAATTCAAAGTGACTTTGAAGCACCTGTTTTCCTAAACACATTACATACCTCAACATATAAAAACCTAGTGAGTGCTTCAGCCATTTTTTTTCCCTCTTCCCGAGATACCTATCTATCTTTTAATTTTCAGTATATGTTTTTGATGGGTAGAAGTTTTATAGTTTTATGTAGTCAAACCTATAACTCTTTTGCTTATGACTCTTTCTTTGGTGTCATACTTAACATCACCTGGATTCCAAAGACTTTTATGAATATTTAATATTTTCTTCTAATATTTACATAGTTTTTCTTATATTTAAGATTTTAATCCACCTAGAATTTATATTTGTCTGTGGTGTAAAGTAAGAATCTAACTTTATTTATTTTCTGATGGTTAGTTAGTGTGGCTTCGACACCATTTGTTGAATAGCTTAGCCTTTCCTCCTGATTTAAAGTGGCACCTGTATTGTATATTAAATTCCCCAAAGTTTTTGAGTCTATTTACATTCCACTCACTTGATAAGCAAAAAGTACTTACCAACGATCTACCAAGTATCCAGCATATCAGCTAATCTGTTGATTAATCGGGCCTGACTTTTGCAACAAGATTTAAGGTACTGTAGCTTTTACTATCATTTCAGATCTTGTAGAATTAGTTATGTCTCCTCTCCTCCTTTTCCCTTACCCCTCTACTCTTCTTTAATACATTGTATTTGATCTTCCTCTATGTTTATTGTTTCAGGTAAATTCTAGAATCATTATGTCAACTTTGGAACAAAATTCCTGTTTGGATTCTGAAGGCTCTTGCTATACTATATTGATAAGCTAGTTCAAAGAATGAGGCAATTTATAAAATTGAAGTCTTCCCAGGCAGGAACATTTATTTAAAATGTCACTTATATTGCTACATAATATTTTTATATAGGTCCTATGCATTTCTGATGAACTCTTGCTACATTAAAGGGAAAGGTCATCTTTATTCCAGATTTGACTTCATGCTGTTTATTGTATGTTTATTGTAAGGTTACGTGTTCATTATAGTTTAAAATCTCCAATTATATAAACAGTAATGAAAGAAGGCTGACCCATGGCTCTTTTCTTCTTCTGAGTTTGGTGTGGTGCGGTGGGAAATAGCTGGACTGTGAGCTGGTCAGCTTGGTCTACACTGCTGCCTGCCATGAACTAGCTGTGCCTTTGAGACAGTCATGCCACCCATTTCGGGCTCACTTCCCAATTTGTCAAATGAGATGATCACAATTCCAGTTCTAATAACCTACAATTCCAATATTTCAAAAGCTATTAGAAATTTATTCTGTCTAGAAGATTTTAGCTTAGACTGTTGTCACATCACTGCTGACTTCTTTGATCCTTGAAATTAACCAGTTCTAGGTCTGACATACCCGTAAGACAATGAACTAAAACCTATCATGGCTTGGACAATGCCTCATAATATTATCAAAGGATGGAGAGAACTACTGATGTAGTAATTTCTTCAAAATTGGAGAGAATTTTTATCTACATATAAAATACTTTTAAAATCTATAGGGAAAAAAACCCCAAAATCTTCTGAGAGAGCATCCTGTCTCCACAGGGAGGCAATAGATTCTCACAGGCATCCGTACTCACCAAGTGAAGAATAGTGGCCAAAATTTTATATACTGTCTGAATCTCCTCAGGTTTGAAGCCAATCACTTTCATGGCATCAGCTACTATTTTGAATTCTGCAGCATCATTGATAGACGACTAGGAAAGAAAATGGAAAAATTAAGTCACAGACATTTCATAGGAGCATGACAGTCCAACAATTACGAAACTAAATTCAAGTTTAGCCAAGGTCTTGGTGCTTTTGTAGTAAGTCACTGAGCATCCAGAGAAAATAAAAATTGTTTCCAAGACAGGAACATCATTCAGCACACACAGTGCCCACTGCCATCACCCAAAGTAAGCACCACATATTTTCTGGAACCTTCGGTGAGGAAGCAAGTCATGAGCTGGCTCAGAAAAGCCGATTGCCAGTGATGAACGGAGGAAACAGTATGGGATGTGAGATCACACAGGGAAACTCTGACTGTAGGAGTCTCTGAGACACTTGCCTGGCTTTTTGTTCCACAGTTAGTCTTGTCTAGGTTGGAAACGACACTCCCTCTCTTGTATGGTCAGGCTTTTTATCTCACAGGTGAGGAAAAGCAAACCCCCAAAGCAAAGTGACCTGCCTCAATCATTCAGCAAGCTAATAGTCTGGGACTATAACTTCACTTTTTCACAAATATTCAGCACATCAGACCTTCTAACCAATTCAGGGGGTTTGCTACAGATTGCTTGTGTCCCCTCCCCTCCCAAATTCATATGTTGAAATCCTAACCCCAAGGTGATGATATTAGGAGGTGAGCCTGTGTGAGATCATGAGGTCATGGGGGTGGAACCCCAGGGATCCCTCACCCTTCTGCCCTGTGGGGACACAGTGAGAAGGCACATCTATAAGCCAGGAAGAGGGCTCTCCCCAGATGCCTTGGTCTTGGGCTTCCCAGCCTCCAGAGCTGTGAGAAATAAATGTGTGTTGTGTATGAACCTCCCAATTTATGGTATTTTTGTTGCAACAGCCCGACTGGACTAAGACAGGGTTCAAAGATAATCACCTGTCTTGAGGAGCAGTAGCCATCAGGCTGGAAATAAAAAGTGTGTCAACAGAAATTCACACTGCAGCAGTGCTAACTGCCTAGCTGAGAAGTGTCCCTAAAGCAGCAGGTCCAGAGGGCCTGACTGATCCTTTCCTTGGTGACTCTCTCACCCGTGAGGAAGGGCACAGGAAGCACTCCTCTCTGCCTGACGAGCACTCATTCCTCTAGTGTCCGGGACACAACCAGGCACCTCCTCCACCTACCAGTTCTCTGACCTTGGGCAAGACACACTTAACCTCCTGAGTCTCAATTTCCTCATGGGTAAAATGGGCATACTAATACATTCCTTACAGGATTGTTATGAGAATTGAATGAGAACTTATATAAAGCACCTTCTTAGTACTTAGCATAGAAAATGCACTCAACCAATTATCAGATATTGCTATCATTATAAGCTATAACCGTGTTGAAATTGCAAAGAAACTAGACCAAAAAATTGAAATATCCTACCATGGGGGATTGTTGGCTGCTGACCTAATCGCCATTCTCCACCCCCCCATTTCTTTCTTACTGATAGAACCCCGATTTGTTCACTCCTCTCCAAGTGCATGAGTCCTTTGGGATTGGTCTCTCCCAGCCTCAGGAGGTAAATCTTCATTGATCTAAACTAATCACAGTGATCTTACTTCCCTTACTAAGTGATTAGTCAGCCATGGGCATGTGATGCCATTCTAGTCCATAAGACCTGAGGTTTCCCTCGCTTAAAAAAGGACATAAGGCAGGAGCATTCAGCCTCTGTCTGTGTCTCCAGGAACTGCTGCTGCCATTTTGGTACCATGAGGAAAATCAGCCGAAGTAGACAAGCCAAATCCGGGGAGGATGGCAGAGTTGTAAGTTACAGAAACAAATAAACAAATGACATCTGGGTCCCTAGCAACATTGTCAAGGCATTGAATTAACCAGCTCTGGAATTGCTCCATTTCAGAGCTTCTTGTTATGTGAGATCATTAAGTTCCTTATTGTTTTTGGAGACTTTTCACTGAGTCTTATCTTACCTGCAACCCAAAATATCTAAATTGTACACGATTCCTATACTTTAGGATAGTTAAGTAAAACTATGATACCTAGAGTGCAATACTTTATAGTTATTAAAATCACTGGATCAATTTATATTTGTTGACATAGGCAGATGTTAATAATTATAATAAAAGGGGGTTCATTTAATTGGGATTTATTATATGACTCCATTTATAAATATATACACACAAACTGTCATCAATAATTATCTCTGGATGGTAAGCTTTAGTGTATTTTTGTTTCCTTGGGGTTGATCTTTATTTCAGGTTTAGACTATGATCGTGTCATACTTCTTTGTTTTTATTAGAGAGGAAGGAAAAAAAGGGAGGACTAGGAATGGAAAACTTCGATGAAAAAGGGAACAAAAGCTAAATTTAGCTTAGAGAGAAGGCTAAGTGTTCATTTAATTCTTGCTTTCTATGGGGGCTCTACATGACCTGACCAAAAGTAATTTGGTCAATTAGATCATTTGATACAAAGGAATATTTCCAGTCATGGGATTTTCAAGTGTTGATTTTACAACCTTTATACATCTTTAGTGCCTCTGGCCTCTTCTCAGAAGGCTGGAGTGTTGCCCTGTAGTGTTTTGTTTGTTTTCAATTAATTTTCAGCCAAACATCCTGCTCTTAGATGATTTGTAAAAGTAAAAAAAAAAATCATGCAACTTAAATATCAAACAGTGGAAAATTAATGTAAAACCCTAAATATAATTTATTTCTATGCATGGCAATAAAAATATAGGTAACCAGTAACACAGGTATAATTGGCTTAAGATGAATAAAAGAACTTAAAAATAAAATAAAAAGAACACCTGCCACATCTTAGATCCTTTCCTTTTATTATAATTTCTTGTATTCTCCTTCCCCCCAACTACAACAACAATGCATTTTTAACTATAGAATAAATTTAAATTATGGAAAATCAGAAAACAAATATCTATAATCTCATCTATCCAGATTAAACAATGAAAACCTTGGTCTCTTTCCCTCTATATCTTATTTTATGTATTTATACACAGTACCTTTCCCCCAACAAAATAGGACAATGCTGTAATTGTTTTATAACCTATCATCAACAAACTAGTATATTATTAGGATTAGCTGAAAAATGACCCATAGAAAACTAATTAGAAATAAAAGAACAAAAAGTACCTGCATAGGTGTGTGCAATGGCTGGCATGCAAGGGAAGGAAAAAAATGGAAAAATTTGAAAGCTGAACAAAAATGCTCCAAAGGTGACAAAGCTATTTCTAGGATACATCAAAATCACTATTTCAAAAAATAGTGAAGGGAGAACTTTGATAGTAATTTCAGCCAAAATGCTTCTCAATTTTCTTTTGTCTTAACAACTTGCCTTTGGCCAAATCATATGGTATCTTCTTTTGAGGTGGATTTCCTCATCATGTTAATGTTTTTATAGTGTCAAAATAAAAGGAAGAGGATTAAAAATGAAAAGAAAACACAAGATCACAAGAAACTTCTTTCCTGTCAGATGGTGATAAAATACAGTAATGGGTTATTAAACAAAGTTGTTGAGTCAATAATGTATTGAATTTCTGCCCCTGACGATTTTAATAATAGAAGAAAAGAGTCATTCATGTTCCCAAAGGAAGCAGGCTGGACTAGATAATTATTTAATGTCCCCTCTGATTCTCTGTCTGATTCTATATCTGAGCAATCTCAAGGAGGAAACTCTCACCTTTAATTGAGCTCCTACATGTATGTAGTTGTAGGAAGAGAGGGATTTCTGCAGATGTAGAGAGCGTAGCATCTGTTCTGAACCTCCCTGGAGCAGCTGAAACATAATGTCAAATAAGTTGGCAAAATACATACTGAACCAAGTATACCGGAGAGAGTCTAACAACGGCAAGCTAGCTTTTATTCATTTTCTGGGCTTAATTCACTTAGGTTCTCCTGTTTCTAGTTTTGAAGAATTTGTTTTCTTTTTGTTTTTTTAACCTTAAAGATCAATGGCTTCCATAGTTATCAGTCATGAAGAATGTTTTACAATCATAAAGAAAACTGCTTAAAAAGTCTTAGGGTTTTCATAGCATAGCTGGCGTAAAAGGTTAAAGGTTCTTGTTTTGACTGTGGTTGTTTGTAAAACAGGAGCTTATGCTCTGTGCTGGTCACTTGCTTAGCAGCCTTCCCCAGACAGGATAGAGCTGTGTTTCAGAATTTAGAATAAATCAATATTGCCACGGAAGTAAGAGGTATCAGCAGACAGTCATATGCTGAGTTACAGTGGGGAAAAAAATAGCTTTTCCTCGTCAATCTCTACATCTCAGGAAAGGAGGACAATTGGACAGCTGTACTGTTGGACAAAGACAAATTTTAACACTTTCATTCAAGTAGGGAAAAACACTGGGAAAAAGTTATGGGTCCTTGAAATAAACAGAACTCTTTTATATTTGGTAGAAAAATCATTTATGGAAAACATGGCAAATTGTCAACAAAAACACAAATACAATATAGGGTAGCCCTTTCATATAGAACATGTGTTTGGAAGATATTATGTTTAAATTATATTAAACTGTATGCTTTGCTTTACCTAAAAGTATTATTTCTCATATTTTAAAAATTAATCTTTTAAACAAAACATACCAGAACTTATACTTACAAATGAGTACTGTCTATTAAAGCAGTTACCTAGAAGAAACTGAACTTGTCACCATTCAGTCACCTTCAGAGATAGTTTACATCTCTGAACTTCAGAGATATTTCAATCTTATAGCTTTATAGGTTTATTTTATAAAAATCTAAGACAGTATTGTAAAATCTGATCATCTACTTTATTTGTTAGTATTGGCTTATATTTCATTGGGCTTTAAAAAATTATAATAATGTATCAAAATTGTTCTCTGAGTAAAGAGACTTGCCAACAGGAGGGCTATTTTAAAAGATTTTGTCTTCATCTCTAAAGGCATTCTCTTTTAGGTATTCAAAAAATTTTTTTCTAAGCAATTACAGTTTTGATGGGATAAAGAAGACAATTCCCTTGAATTCATAAATCCAAGTTTTCTTTTTTGTTTAAGTAATCATATTGCTTTATAATCTCCACAAGCAAGATAAACTGAGCTTGTGTTCCCATCTTTGGAGCTCCCAAATAGGGAACAACAGCTTCACTTCAAAGGCAAACAAAATCAATTTAACATATTCAGGATTTCCCATTTCAAGAGCTTTTACAAGTTATTAAAACTGCTTTGTACACTGCAAAGAAAGGTAGGTGATGCTCAACCAAGGTAACCACCTGGTTGGTTAACCACCTGCCAGCTCTTTCTACCAGCCATGCTTGTCAAATCTCTGAAGGGTGTGTGCCTGTGCGCACACGTGTGTAACGTGTCAGGGAACCAATGGAGCCAAGGGAGGCCCGGGACAGGACAGCCTCCACATAAAAACATTCATTTCCTGCAAATTGAGCAAACGATCAATTATCTGCATAACAGTAGATTACTAACCTGATAGAAAGAATGAAAGCTTCTTTCTCCTGGCTGTTGCACAATCACTCGAGACTAAGAAAAAAACACATTAAAATTGTTAATCTGAGGATGTACCCCTAAAACAAAACAGAAGCCGCTTTCTCAGGGAATACTGTTATCAACAGGGCATTTGAATGTCCTAAAGACCCCAAGGAAAACTATGGGATCTCCTCTATGCAGTTTTCTGTGCAATTTTTGATAACTGTGTTTACTGCTTAAAACAAGAGTTCCCTAAACTTTCCGAAAATAAAGTGGTTTTGATTTTTTTTAACCTTTACCCTAAAGATGGAATTTCTTAGGGAGAAAGAAATTGGAAGTGGGGAGAATAGGAAGGACCGTTTAGGGAGGAACAGTCTCAGCATTCCGTTCCCCAGGGTCTGCTGGCATTTCCCAGGGCAATGCGTAAACTTACATCCTGTGATAAAGTTAGTGGAGCAAGATCAGTCTATAGAGACCCCTGCCTTAGACGCCTCCCAAAAGACTGCTAGTAAGAGACTGCTATTATGAAAATGTATGTTCAGTCACAGGGATCCTTTTGCTTGAATATGCACATAAAGTGAAGCCATGAAACATTTTAGAAAAAAAACACAAATAATACCTGGCATTGCCTGTCCTTTTTTAACTGACTGATAAAGACATTTTATTTTCACTGCCTAATTGAAAACATTATTCCTTTAACAGCCTGACTTCAATTTAACAACAGCAGCCAAAAATTACACCGCCTTATACTGTCATAAAGGATGTTACGAACAAATGGAAACTAGAAGAAAATGAGATTTGAAATTAATTTAAATAAAAACACATGGGAGTGTCATATCACTATGTTGTACACCTTAAACTTACACAATGTTATATGTCAACTCTATGTCAACTTAAAGAAGAGTTGTATGGGCATGATTGTTTGAAACGAGTGTTATTTCAGAGGGTGGGTATGATAGCTCTGTAATGCATTTAAAAAGACAAACATATGGGAGGTGATGATGATGTGTAGAAAGGGTAGAGCTGATTAGTCTTAGGTTGGTTTTTGGTTAAACCTTACCCAGAAGTTGGCATGTATTCACATACCATTCCTACCTCCTCCCCCCCACACACACCTAAATCTTAAGTCACTAACTTTTTTCAACTTGATATTGTGTTAATAAAAGAACACAATGAGGAAGGGAGGGAGAATGGAACTAAAAGTCCTTTGAAGCAATTAAATGAATTCTATAAACATAATTAAGTTTATAAAAAAACATTCAGCACTTGAAAACATCACCCGCAGAAATTAAGCACATTTTACCTTCTCTAATAAGTAGTTACTGATATGTCCACCAATAGGGTCCCCCTTGAAATCAAAGTTGATATCCATGTATTTCCCAAACCTGCTGGAGTTGTCATTACGGTTGGTTTTGGCATTCCCAAAAGCTTCCAGGACACAGTTGGACTTAAGCAACATGTTCTTCACTCTTGAACGCAGATAAAGGAAAGTCATTAGAAAACGTGTCAAAGGCTGGGCCTTTAAGAAAACTAGATTTCATGAAAAGATATGCAAATATTTATACAAAGATACTGACCACAAGATTTGCAATATCAAACAAACACAAACAACAAACAACTTAAAGGTCCAGCAATAGGGATGGATAAAAATAAATTTCTCTTTCCCAGTATAATATGGACTGACATAGAAAGATGTCCAGAATATATTAATGAGTGAGAAATTAGGTTGCAAAATAATACGTATGGAGGATCTTTGTGTGTGTGTATGTGCGTGCGCATGTGCGTGCGCATGCATGCATGCGTGTGTGTATGTGCGTGCGCATGTGCGCATGCATGCATGCGTGTGTGTGTGCTCATGCACATATGTTAGAAAATGCTGTAACATCTGGAGGGAGCAGCACACTTCCCTATGGTTACCTAGGTTGATAAGGCAGGGAAGGTGGGATTTCAGGGAACTTTCACCTTCAACACAATGCTGTAATTTTTAGTTTTTCTTTTAAATGAGCATGTCTTATTTACATAAAGGAAAATCTTCAAAAGTATGTTCTGAAAAGAAAGAATGAGTGATACAGAAAATGATACAATTTTTAAACGTACTTGCTTGTAAAGCCTAGCATTGTGAAATTGGCTACCCTTAGTCATACATCATGAACGTGGTCTCTATTCGTTTAGAAATTGCTTGTTGTTTTGTTTGACGTTACATGGAATCTATCTCCTTTGTACCAGTTACCTAATTCATTCTTTATTCTACCACTGCTGACTTTCTATAGAGTCTCTCCCAATGGATACATTTTAACTTCATCCTACTCTTTATGTCTTTGTTTTTATTTCACTGACAAAATTCCTCTTACACAGGCATACCTGCAGAAATAACTCTGGCCACTGATATAACCTGACGTAGCCGATTCACTGTTCTTTCCACTACCATTGTAAGTGGCCCCACAACCTTATCTCCTCCTGAATGAAAGTATACTTTTAAAATGTGGGGGGAAACTGCCTGCTTACAGTACATAAAGAAAGCGGTCTTTAAAACTAGGGTAGGATATGCCTGTGAGAAGCTGGTTAATGGGCATATGCCTTACTCCACTATACCAACTGGGTTTAGAAATAAAATTAATTTAGCTCTCAGTTACTCTCCTGAGCACCCAAGGAAATTTTTGAAGTTACTCATATCCTTGTCCTTGTCTTATTAGATTGCAAAGTCAAAATCAGAAGTGGGGATGTGCCACAATTAAGAAAAATACCTGACCGCCCAGCCCAACTAGGATGAAAAGAAGAAGGCCATGTGGGGTAGTGTAGTCTAAATTCTCTCACATCAACCCAGCGTCCTTTCTTTCTAGTCTGAAGATTGAAATGTGTATATGGCGTGTTACTTCAGTAAATGAACACTGAGTTCAAAGTAGCAACTCTGGAAAACCCTTTATTTCTCTTCAAAAAGTCCACACCACATAAGACAGTCAAGTCATGTTGCTTTATAGCCGCATTTCTTTTTTTCTTTCTTTTCTTTTCTTTTCTCTCTCTCTCTCTCCCCCTCCCTCCCTCTTTCTTTTCTTTTCTTTTTTTAAGAAAACCCTATCCATTCATTCCTTGCACATTTATTAAGCAAATAGTATGTGCCAAACACTGTGTTAACTACTGGGCCCCAGACAGAGCACACAAGCTTTATTACTCATCTGGCTGTGAGCTGCGAGTGGTCTGGTGTGGCTGAAACCCTTTTAGACAATGAGTCACACTTAGAACTTCTAATATCAGGAGTTTTAGGTGTGATAATGATGGGAAGCCATGCATCTGCTCCCCAGGGGCCCCTTTCGCCTTACGGAACCCAGGGCGCCTCAGAACACAGTTTGAAAAAGATGCGGGTGCTATAGAAAGCGAAGGAACCTGTGAGTGTTTGAACCATAAAACCTACCAATGTAAACGATAACATCTTTGCTAACCACAGATAACATTCAAGGCAGCAGTTCTAAACTAGAATGGGGACGCTGTGTTGTTTCAGAATAGTTTTATTTCATTTTCTATTGAGGTAAAGGTTACCATAGTAGTAAGCTTTTTTCTACTAAAAACAAATATACAAATAGAGTGATATGAATAAAAGTAGAGACGGTATGCAATAAGAGAGTCAAAGTAATTTAACCATCAATAAATGGTCGATACGTATCAGAGTTCAGGCCTCATCAACTCTATATAGAAACTAAAGCTCTAATCAGAATTTTCTCCCCATTATTAGCTCGCCCTTACCTTTCAATCTCTGCTCTCTGGCTGGGGTTGGTGATGGCTGCAATGTACTGCATAATGTACTTGCTGGCTTCGGTTTTACCAGCTCCACTCTCCCCTGGGGGAGAAATTGTGCAAGGCTTAGCATTGTAACTTAAAGCAAGAGGAAGCTGATTTTTAATAGAGTAATTTAAAATGGTGATGTCAGTTGTTTATTTAAAATCCCTTATGTCCATTGTTTGCCTTTTTTGAGTTATTTCATCCTGTCTTGATATGGGATTGGTTCTAACAGATCTGACCATGGTGGAAAAAAAACCCAAACGATATTAGAAGTAGAATAACAAATAGATTACAAATCAAGATTTACTTAGTCAACAATATCAAGAGATAAGATGTGATAAACTAATCCCTTAGACTAAAGTCTTCATACTTGGCAGTGGCTCTGAAGTGTGGCAGAAAAGAAACAAGCTAGTGATTAAAACAGTGGCCACAGCTAAATAGATATTAATATAACCTTATTTTCTATAGCAGAATTTCTTTTCATCTTAATAAGGACAAAATAATTCTTTCAGAAAATGAAAGTTAGAGCAATTTTGGTAAAAAAACAAGTACCAAGTTCGACACATGGTGTCACAGAAAATGACTACTGATATAAGGGGAGAAGAGATCAATTAGCTACCCAATTTTTAAATGTTTATGCCTTCTGACCCCAAAATTCCACTTGTAAAAATTTATAGTATGGAAATAATAAAAATACTAATGTAATAATAATCATCAAAAGTCTTAAGAGTATTTTTGTAGACTGTCATAGCTAAAAATCTGAAAATAATATGCTTATCAGTAGAGGATTGGGTAAATAAATTAACTGTTCAGTGGAATACTACACAATTGTTAGAGAATACACTGCTTCTGTAGGTCTCTAGCGAAAAGATGTCCATTATAAATGGAAAAACAAATTACATAATAGCAGTTGTAAATAATTACAATATAATTATATACTTATAATAATTATATATGCATGTGTGACTATATGTATTTGCACATGCAGAGAAAATATATAAAAGGATAAAGGCTATTGTTTACAGCTGTTACTGCTGCAATTTGGGGAGGAACAGGGTGTTCAATGGGAAGGGACTTTTTGCCTTTAATTTATGCACTTATAAAATTGTTTGATTTTCATGTTTTTCCTTTTGCAATCAGGCACTCTTGCTTTTGTAATTTGTTTTCATGAATTGTAGTCCTAGGATATAATTCTCTAACTTCAACATGAAGTTACGTAACTCTTCAGACCCTTCCTAGTCTCATCTATAAAGCAGGAACACAACTGCTTTACATGCCCATTCAGAGCTGTTTTGATAACCAGAATGGAATAAAGATCCTAAAAGCATTTTTCAAAGTATAAAGCTCTGAATGCAAATGTGAGGTAATAGCACCAAAAGAAATTTCCGCTGTCTGGGAGAGGCCATCCTGGGTCAGTGGGCAGATATTTTTCCTGTTTGCATTTCATTACCCAAGATTCCTTGAAGAGCTCAGCTCTACACAGAGAATTCAGCTCCACGTCTCTGGCACATGAGCCTGTCTCCATCCTTGTTGGGCCTCCTCAGCTCTGAGAGCCTGTTTCCAGCCCCCATGCCAGTATGTGACCTCAACACTAGTTCCCATTCACCAATCTGACTTTGAGTTCAGTCTTCATTTTGGGGATCTCAGGATTTCATGTTCTTGGTTTCCTTCCGTTATTATTTCAAATAATTTTTGTTACATTTTATCCAGTACTCTTAGGTGCTTGAGATGGGAGGAAGACTTTCTCATGTCAGCTCAGTCTACAAAATTGACCAGAAGTCCATCCAAAAGTAATACGTATTTGTAAACGAACCAAGACTAGAGGGCAGTCAGAAATGATATAATTTGGGATGTAATGTTCATTACTCTTTTCCTTCTAAAAATTGCTTAAGTTTCTAACTTCAAAGGAGAGCTCATCAAACGTTTGGATCCTGGAATAAATAGCTAACAAATTAAATACACAATCTGACCTTGGAAGTATAGGGGACTCCCCCCTCTAAATACCTGATATCACAATACAAGTGTCTTTTGATCGCCTCTTCATAGCCTTGTAAGCAGCATCGGCAATCGCAAAAAGATGAGGTGGTCTCTCGTACAGCTCGCGTCCTTTGTACTGCTCAATGGTCTCTCTACCATAGATGTTCAGCGACTTGTAAGGATTCACAGACACGACGACTTCTCCGATGAACGTGTAGATGCGCCCCTTTTCAAATCTGTCCAGAAGCAAAAGAAAAGGAAGACGTGGCTGTGGCTATACAGAAATGCGCTTTCTTTCCTATGAGTCTCTTATCTCCAAGAAAATGCAAATATCCCAGGAGCAATTTCTGAACTGACGTTTCATTGGTTCTGAGTTTACTTTTAGAGGCCATGTTTGAGGCTGTGCTGAGATGCTGCTGCTATAGAAAGGGCCAGTAGGGGTTCAAAGCCAAGAAAGAAGAGAGAATTTAATTTTTTAGAGGTTGGGGATTTCCTATTTCCAAAATACAGAAAGGTAAAAAGATGAAAAAAAACCCAAGTTGACGATAACTTCAGAGCTCTAGGAAGAAAAGAAATAGTAGTTAAAACAGGTTTTGAGGGCTGGTCGAGTGGCATGTTGGTTAAGAGCTGGCTTGGGACTCCAGCTCTGAGCAGCAGGACCCTGGTTCAGATCCCACATTAGGGCCAGTGATGCTGCGCCCTCTACAGCTAAGATGGTGAACAACAGCTC